TATCTCGACGAATACACATTAACGCATGAGGAAGCCATCAAGTGATTTTAAAAAAAATGTGGGATATTTCTAAATTGATCAATTTGTTTTGGGTTATTGCTGTCTATATTGACTTCGCAGAGTCCTTGTGAAAGCTACCCATGTCAAAACGAGGGTACGTGTTTAGCACTTTATGAAACAAGTGACTACAGTTGCAAATGCCACCAAAACTACACTGGCGTGAACTGCGAGGACCGTAAGTTTATTCTAGAAATGTTTTCTTTTGCTAGGCCCAGTTTTAAAGAACAGGGTGGGAATAGAGATTTACGTGAGTAGAGAAAAACATGAGCTCACAACACTTGCACAGTTTAAAGGCAAAACAGTTACTTACCTGATGAACATGGACAGCTCCAATCACATTTGTACAAGTTAAACTTAGATTTTATTTAATAATTCTTAAATAGGTTTTGTTATTCAATTGTAAAATGCATGCTTTTTCTTTTTTTTTTTATCGACTTTTATGTATTTTTTTACTGGTCACCGATTGATACCAGTCAATCTCTATTGATTGACTGACCGGTCTTTAATCAGGACAAATAAAGTTGTATTATTTTTAATAGATCCTGTTGTTTTTTAATCAGGCGTCAACTGATACTGATCTTAGGGATTCCCAATGAAAACTGTTTTGACAGGAATCAGTGAAAAGTGTAGAAATGTGTGTACATATATCTACAGTGATTGAGAAGAATCAGTGGTGCACAATTGAGTTAAGGTCGCTCTGAATCATATCAACGGAGTTTTTAAACTTAGTTGCAATCCAGTGATCAAAAACAGGAGTGACCAATATCATTTCTGAGTTGCAGACCCAAAAAAGCTGAAATGAAGGATGTTCCTAAGACGCTGTGGGGTTGTGATAGTATCCTTAAATGACATACAATGGATAAAGAAAATTTAGGAAAATGATACAAATCTTGTGACACCATTTTTAAGGGACCACACGAAAGATTTTGCTGATATTAATCCATCAAAGCACTGGTCTTTAAGGATAATGAAACTATTTTGAAAAATCTTTAAACTTAATTTTGCTATTTCAGTTTGGATCTCTAGCACTGGTCAAGTTAGGACGTATTATAAGTATTTTAATCAAGACTCAAGCTGGTTTGATGCCAGATCCTACTGCCAGTCATTAGAAGGAACCTTAGTATCGCTCCAAAACTGGAATGAACACAACTTTGTAACCAGTCAAGTCCTTCCCCCAACATATAACCGTATTTGGATCGGGCTGAGCGACCTAGAGCAGTCTTGGGAATGGAAATGGGAAGACGGGTCATCATTATCTTTCAATCGATGGGGTCGTGGTGAACCAAACAACAAGGGGGGGGACGAAAACTGCGTGGAGATGATAGAGGTACACCACACATGGAATGATTATCCTTGCGGAAATATTAGGCCTGGTTTCATTTGCGAAAGGACGGCTGTCGAGAAAGAAGATTATGACCAAGTTGTCAGTAATGACAATGATGATGTTAATGATGACGATAATGGTGATAATAATGGTAATAATGATGATGGTGGTGACGATGAACGATGACGATGACGGTGATAATGATGATAATAGTGATGACGATGATGATGACGATTAAGCGACGAAAAGCCACTGACCACACTCAACAAAAGTGTGCATAGTAAGGTCTATTTCATTGCAAAATATAAACTTGTTGATATTTTCCATAATCATTACTCCAAGTTACCAGTACTATTCTTTGAACTCGTTAAACATTGACCTTTCTTTGCATTTACTAATGACGTGTTTTCCAAATTCGTTACAAAAAGTTTCTTGCCAGTCAACAGTTTTTTCACATTAAGTCTCAGTCTCTAACCAGAAGTAGCCTTTTCATTTAATTTTGCGTAAATCGATTGTAATCATAGGAGAATTTCAGACCGAATCGTCTATTTTTTTTACTTATTGTATAAAATTTTACGCTTTAGGATAGCTGCCTTACTACCATAATCTCTTCTTAAAAGCACGAGGTAAAGGCTACCATTTTTTTATGTACATCTATAAGTTGGAATTAAATATGGTTTAACCTCGATTTCCGTCTGTATTGTAAGTCTCCTGATTTATGGCATTGGCAGGGATTTCAAGATGAGAATAGTAGAGAAACATTAAAAAAGTAGAGACGATCAGAGAAATAAAGTCAAACCAAGGCGGCATATTAAACAGAAACGCCTGCGACACATGTCACCTCTAAAACTTAATTGACTTTTTAGTTCTAATGTCTTTGTTTTGCGTTGTGTCAGGGCTCGATTTAAACTAGCCTTACAAAATTGGATGCCCCAGGATGAATATAAGTATAAATATATGAATAAAGCGAAGAAGCCGAAGTATATCTGAATATCAGCGTAATAGTTTCGCAACACCTCTCTCTTCATCTTGTCTCGTGCTTTGTTTGAAACAAAGTTAAGGAAAGATTTGATGATTTTCAAGATGTCATACTGAGAGAAAATGTAAGAAATACCAATTAAAAATAAAAGTTGACAAACATCAATAGCTTTTGTTGTTCTAATATGCCGGCACTTACCTAGTAAAGCAACAGTAGTGTTTCGTAATACTTCTCTCTTCGTCCTATCTTGTGCTTTGTTTTAAACAAAGTTAAGGAAAGATTTGATATTTTTTACGATGTCATACTGAGAGAGGACGTTAGGAACACCGAAAAATGATAAAAGTTGACAGATATTAATAGTTTTTGTTGTCGCAATATGCCGGCACTTACCTCGTGAAGAAAAGTCAGGAGAGCTCCAGAAGTCTAATTAAGAAGTTAATTGTCTTATTTTAGCCTCAATCTATGTTTTTGCTGATTTCTTCTTTTTCAATCGCGCGATATGAATATTCTTAGAGCAGATTACGCTCAGCCATAACTTACAACAGTACTGCAATTATGGTGTTACCTGCTGTTTCAGTCTCATCAAAACAGCTATTTGTGCAACAAAATTAACAATTATACAAAATGGTTCATGAATTTAGGTTTTTTTTTTTCTCTGATATCCGCGTTGGAACGGTTTGACATTAACATTGATAATTACTAAAGAATTGAAAAGAAAAGTTGAGTAGCACTTTTTTTATACAGGAACAAAGTATTTTTGCTACTCACACAATCAGTCTTTGAACTATTGTGGGACGGGGAGTTTTTAGCTTCACCTGCCCTTGTCTTCACCTGTACTTGTCTTCACCTGGCCTTTGTTGCTAATACGTATTTGCGGAGTGAGAGTAACTAATCCTCCATTTTTTTCCTTATTTAAAAAAATTCGTTTTTAAAGTGCCATCATGAAACGCACAATGTGGAGGAGATTTAAGTTCTCGGCTTGTTTTATAGTTTGTATTTTAAATCCACCAATTTTCTCGAAAGAGATAAATCTCCAACGCGGCCCTTCCAGAAGATTCCAGCAGGCATTGTTTAAGACCAGTTCATTCCACGCTCTTGATGGCAAAAAGATTGAGATAAGCTACGTACAATCTGAAAAACATTGCTTGTTGAGGTGCATAAAAAATCTGCAGTGCTACTCAGCAAACGTTGCTGTGCGTTCAGAGGACAATGTGCAAGTATTGTGCGAACTACTGTCTTCGGATAAATACAATTCTTCGCAAGGCTTTCGAGCGAGTGCAACTTTGAGTCATTTCAGCATCTCGGTAAGTCAACTTGATTTTTTCCGCTGCGTTTTTTGTTCCGGCTATAACTCGTAAGTCTTTTAGTCAAAATTTATGTATTACTTATTTTTTTGCTCATAAATTTTCTCTTTCAAATCATGATTTTAATTATTAAGTAATGTTTGTTGTGAAAGGC